AATTTAATTCGCAAGAAGCAAATGCGATCAGAGATAAAAATTGAAACTAGTTCAGTCAAATTGCTTGTATTATATTAACATATTATAATTTGTATTATAATAGCATGAAATAAATGAAAGACGGCTTACAATATATCTCATGTCTAAAAAGCAAAATCATTGACATAAATAACGTATAAATAAAGGACAGAAGAAGAAATATTTTATAGTAATATTTAGGAAATATACATATATTATACATTTAAAAAAATAGAAATGTAAGTACATTAATTATATAATTATTATACAGTAATGTTATTGTATAATAATGTTTATTTGTGATAATTTTATATAAAACTTTTATACCCTAGCATTCAGGCTTTACAAAATTCAATAATTTTTCACGAATTACGCGGATTCGAAAACTTGATTCATGAATTTATCCAATCCAATCCGTTCTCGTTTGCTGGGAAGTTTGTGATACTAGAGTAATAAAGACAAGAAATTTCATTTTACCGAGTTAATCATTGGCACTGGCCACACTCAACCGTCTCCCAAATCCTCAAGACGAGCTAAACCAAACATATATATTGAAACATACGCATGAATACTGAAAACTGACGAACTAATAATATGTTTGTGTAACATTTACTTTATAATTTCTCGCGTGAATGATATTCTATAAAAAGGAAACATCTGTTAAATTTCGTTCTACACGGAATCGATTATTTAACCGTTCAACTTCTACCCTACAAAAAGTGTCAAGTGATAAATATTTTAGTCTCACTGGTATTTTGTATCGTTGTAGTTAAATTATTGAAATAATTAACTTATAAAATTAACGTTAAAATTTATAAAAAGGGGAAGTAGGAAATATTTAATCAACCATTTAAATATGGTAATATTTATTAGTATTCATATTCCTCTTATTTATTCATTTAAAGTTAAAAAAACATTTTTCAATTTTTAACTTTCTTCAATAGATATAACTCACAAAATATAAAGAAAAACAAAATTATATGTTATACATGGTGTCCCAATTTTTGACAAAACGCTCTTTTGTAGATAGAGTGGAATTACTTCTCTCTGAACTAAATCTGTTTGAACGTATCCTATATATTTATAAATATACATAATGGCGTCGCCAGACACTTTTAAATTTAACGAATGTATTCCATTCTTAGTATTTTCTTCTTTTTCTTCATCAACCGTTTTTCTACACAAAAAATCAAATACTGCACTTGCCGCGGCATGAACTTTTTCACAGTATTTTCGTATTCAGAAGGTCTTAGGCTTTGGCCGAGGTCCATAAACCCACAAAAGAGGTTTATGCCTTCTCTAGTAAAGTCTAATAATCCCATAACAAACAATATTCTAAGATTGACTTCATAAGTATTTTAAATGAAAGTATCGCAGTTGATTGGTGTTTAACGAAATCGGTATCTAATTATGATTTTAAAACGAAGGCCACGATGGTCTGATTCGCCAAATGTTATATATTGTTTACAATGTCTGCAAATAACTATTCGCGCAATTCCGCCAAAAATAGCTAAAAATTCAATGATACGGTAATTATGAGTCGGAGTCATAACAATGGCTTCTGTACCTGCAAAATGTAATTTTCTGGCTGATGAACTCGTTCCTTCCATAGGATCTTTAACAGTACATTCATTGCCTGCGAATCTTCTTTTTCGTGGCCTGTTCGGACGATAAGTATCCTCTTTATTTACTTTACCCTACCTATAAAAGTATGTGATAATTTTTTATAATAAATTATCCTCCATTCTATTTTTTAATACTTTAATTTTTTTTCGTATAGGTACCTACTGAATCGTTATCCGATGTTAGCAATATCAAGAATATTGAAGATAAAAGTTCCAACATGGTAAAGAATGATGCGTCAGGGACAAGTGAAAATGTGCCGTAAAACATCTATAATTTTTTACTTGCGAAAAAAAATTAATTAATATTTATTTTCGAGCAAAACAAAGCTACAATCCCTTCTGTGTACACAAAAGTGTATCACTAAATAATGTATTTTATATCGTCATCGTAATGTGTCCCGAATGTAATTAGTGTACATTTATCGTAATATTAATGCAACAAATGATAAAATAAGCTGTATTAAATCGTGATTCCATATTGATCTTTATTCTCAACATGCCTTCAATTTTAATTTAAAGTAATAAAGAGATTTTCCTTTTATTTATTTATACCTTCATTTTATATCATATGTAAATATCACATACCAGATTTTTTTCTTGTTGAATGGAAATTAATGTAATTTTTCTGTTAGATTTTGTATTTTGCATCTCTGATATGTAATTAATAAAGAAAATTCTAAAAATTTTTCCATATATCATAAACAATAATTTACTCGAGGTGATTTATTTTAAATGATCTTTTAAAATAAAAGAAGTTAAATTTAAAAAATATTAATAAAATAATGTCAATAGAAATGCATACTTATAATAATAAGCACAATTTTATTGCGTCCATTTTGGAAAGACTCCCCATCCTTTACTTACAATCTGATATATATATTCTTATATTTGAAGATATCTTCCTTTTCACAGAGAATGGAGTAGATGCGAAAAAAGAAAAGAATATAAATTACGTCCATAAAATAGTCTGTATACACACTTCGCACTTCTTTATAAATACGCGAATTTACTTATGAAATTCTGCACTATATGTATAACGTAAATTATATGTAAGAAATATGTAATGTAAATTATATACGCGCATTTATATTAAAAGTGAAATATAAAAATACGGACTAATAATTTTATAATTAATATACTGTATTTTAAAGTTGATTGTAATGACCCTGAATATTCAAGTGTAACTTACAAGAGCGTGTTTTAGAATGAAGCACGAGAATACGCATCGTCGAAAAAGGATCTACAGCGCTTGCGCTAGTTTTACAGCCATAGTTTTTGTTATGGATGTTATTGTACGAGAAAAGAACATCTGTTGAATTTCTCCGTAGTTGAATCGATCGCTTAAATGTGACATATTTTAAAAAAACAGTATTAAATTGCGAGGGTTTTAATATTACATGAGCATTTTATTGCACATTTCACGATACTTCTTTCATTGAAAATTCAACAAATTTTCTAAAATTTTTATGTAAATTTCAACAATTTAGCGAAATTGGTTGAATTACTAAAATTGTCTTAAATTGTAGAATATTTCTTGAATTAGAAGAAAATATTAAAAACATTTAATCAATCAAATGAATGGTGGGGATAAGCGCAACTTCGTTCTCTTCAATTCCGTTAAAAGCATTTTAGAGTTAGTTGAGACATGATCAGTGTTGTGGAGAGATATTTTAGTCTTAATCGAACTCTTTTGTTAATAGTTGGTTTGTGGCCTTACGAAAAATCAAAATTTGTTGGATTGCAAATAATATGTATATATAGCACCCTTATAACTTGCATTATATTTCAGGTATTAAGATTTAAATTGTAGTATTATCTTAGATCTCTAAAATTTATTTATAATTGCAAATTTGTTGATTAATTCATAATTGATATTTGTTTGAAAATATGAATTTACTTGAAATATGTCAAATGAACGATTAAATATAAAAAATTAGCGCAAATGTTAGTAAGATCTTATTCTTTATACGTATAAAAAAAGTCCGTGCGAGTACATATATACGCGTATACATATAGTTATACGTACGAGTAATAATATGTTATTCTATGTCGATTTCTATATTATATACAGTTACATAATTATATTAATATGAAATTTTGAAAATTATAATTATACAACTTAATATTTCACGGGAGGCTTTCATGGGAATTTTCCATATAGAAGTCATGTGTTCGCGGGTTATCTTCTTGTCCAAATCCATTATTAGAATGCCAGTGTTTCGTTAACTTACAGTTTACTTCATCAGTATCAACTTGATATAGTATCAGGCTGCCCCTCGCCCTGAAATAAATTGTAATGTTTACGAAACGACTGCACTTTAACATTGGTTTCGAATAAAAATTAATCCGCAAAACCCAATTATGCGACTTGATAAAAATTGTTGTATAAAGTGATAGTAATGGCTTATAGTTACGTTAAAATAGGCTAAAATATAATAAGGATTTTTTATTCTTTTTTTTTAAATTATTATTTACAGTTTACAACAATTTTGACTTCAACGTGTTCTACAGAAGTCATCATCAAAGTTCTTTCTACCGCACTTGCTTTTAGCACCTTTGTTATAAAGTATAATTCCTTTTATATTAACAGTGAAACGGCAAGTTCAACTATATTTTTGAAAATAAATATCTTAACAAATATATATATATAATATCATTTATCAATTTTTTCAAATTTTACTAATAATAAGATATATAAAAACTTGTTGATAGAATAGATAAAAAATATTATGGAACAAATTCAGCATGTCTATAACGATTTAAGAGACTGTAACGAAATTGCTATTATAGAAAAATATGGAAATAATGCAAAACAGTATACGGCTCTGCTTACAAGTAAGACATCTTTTTACTTCTTTTTATATTTGGAGATTATTTGGTAAAATTTTTATTACAAATTTTGCAACTAAAAAATACATAATTTAAGTTAAATAATGAGTCAAGTTAACATTTGAATGTAAATGTACCAAAGATTAAAAATGCATGCCAAAATGCTGCATAATTAAAATATTTTAACTGTACATTGTTCTAAGGAAAATGTTTTAGTGTTAAGAAACAAGATTGAGATTGCAATGATAGTATTGCTTTGAAAAATATGAGAGAAATTATAGTACCAATTTATTTTAATTTATCACCTCGAAAACTTTTTTATTTTTGATTTCAGAAGAATGTTTTAAATAAAACTAATTTTAATAAAGTTCATGATATATTGATTTAATTTGAAAAAAATTCACATATAAAATATTTTAAAATAATATATACAATAATATAAATTTTAAAGAGTATTAAAAAATATATTTTGTATTTAAAACTTCATAACATTGAGTAGTTATGTTTATTTGTAGCATATCTGTATTTATGGGCACCTCTCTATGGTTGGAGTTTATTGATATTGTGTTATATACAAACGTATCTCGATCACATCATCTGCAGATCTCCACCGAATATTTTATCGATGAACAAAGATATTTCTATTTATTGTTTCTCCATGTAAATGCAACTTTTACTATAGGGATCGTAGCAGTATTGGCAATAGGGTCATTGTTCTATACATATCATCAATATGCCTGTGGAATGTTCAAAGTTGCTAGGTAACATGATAAACGTATACAATAATTAAATAATTTATCAAAGTATCCGTGCTGCGTGAATACACGATTAACAAAAAGTAACAAGAGCGTACATGGTAGGAGGTTTATTTTAAGTGCTTAAATACTTCGGCGTGAATTTTATATGAGTAGTTATATGTATAACATTCCCAATTCTGTAATCATAGCGCCAATATCATTTTCAGTCACGAAACGCAGTCATAAATAGAACTGGAGTAAGAATATTATATATATGAATTGAAAAGCACCTGCTATATTAATAATATTGATCAACATCATGGGAAAATATCAATAATTTGATGTCAATAAGCTTCTAAAAAATTGTTACAAAATTTAAATTACGAATGGACTTTTCGTTCGTTTGCAAAAAGCATTTGTTTTGATATGAAAAGTTTTCTTTATAAAAAATATCAGTTATTAATATGCTTAGAATTAAAAGCATAAACAGTTAATTTATTGAAATATCAAAATATTAATATGTGTGATTTCTCACAATAATGTGCAATACAGTGTATCTAAAATTACTTTTTAGCTTTACCTTGAAAGTAATTTAAATGGGATAAAATCAAATACGTGAGAAGTTGTTAATACACTGAGAAAAAAAAGTTGTTAACTTGACTAAATGCGTTTAGTTCGTAATGATTATTTAGTTCGAATATTTATATATTTAGATTAACAAAATCTTGTAATATAAAACATGTTATTTGTTTGAAGTAACAAATATTTAGTTGAGTTAACAAATATTTGCTCGACAGTCCGTGACCGCTACATTTAGTTGAATCAACTAATATTTTTTTGAAACAGGAACTTTTTTTTTATATTGTATCTGAAGATGGTTCAAATGTAGAACCGAAACATGTTATACTTATAATTAGAATTACACAATTTATATTTCAAACGAACTTCTTTACTGGATAATTATAAACTTGAATGTGTTAATCACTTCTTAGTTAATTGATGATTACATACGACTCTTATTTGCCTTGTTTCCAATTATTACATTTTGAACTTTTTTTTCTCAGTGTATTTACGTTCATATTTTAATGTTATTGAAATTTCTCAGCAGTCCGGGTTTATGTAATATTACAATTAAGCTTATCACAATAATAAATGTTTGTGCACAGATATGTATTACGCTATAGAACCAGATCAATAATAAATGCGCAACGCAACACACTTATAAAATTTATTTAATTAAATTATATTAATAAAAGAGAGAGTTATGTTATATTATCGAGAGTTATAACAAGCCAATTATTTTTCTTATTTTTTCAAAATTATTTATACTTCTTGCTACAGTTAAAATTATTTACAGTTACCGTATCAAGAGAGCTATACATATTTATACGTCAAAAGATGTTAGTACGCAGAAAGAGATTTTGGTTTATAAAGATCTAATTCGAGCTGTAGATATTCATCGAAAATCTATGACGTAAGTATCTATATATTCTGTAATAAATATATAACATTCGTAATAACATATGTTTGTTTTTAGATTCTCTACCTATTTTATATCCACATTTCAAATCTCGTTCATGTTTTTATTAGTACTTGGAGTACTTTCTATGAGCCTAAATATTTTTCGAGTGCGTCTCGTCTTTTACAAATCCATGTTGATGGTTTGCATATTATTTCGTTATGTTGCTTTAGATCAATTATCTTAATATCTTTTTCTAACAAACATTATTGATACAGATTAGATTAATATTTTAATGGTATCAATTTATGGAAAGATTATTTAAATTTGGATTTTAAGATATTATCGATATATATTATATATGTATATTGACACAATTTTTTTATTTTCAAATCCGCATTCGGCTTTATAAATTACTACAATACCAGCTTTAAATATAAAAAAAAATGATCATGTGAGAAATAAGATATAACTATTAATTTTAATGCCAGAAATTCACTTCATACATAGTTTCAGATTTTTATTAATATCACGGCAAGTTTTTTGTATCTTCAAATTAATTTTTAAATTGTTGTAATATTTATTTAAAATATTTTAATATATGTAATAGTAATAAGAGGTATTTCACACATATATAGCAATTAAAATTTGTAATTTTAATTGTAATTTTTTTTTATAAAAATGTATAGCTTAATACATAAATTTATAGTAGATAAATGTTGTGCTAAATTCTATCGCAAATTAATAAATTACATTTATACTATGTTCTCTCAATTTGATGTAAATGGCTGCGTTCGGCAGACAAACTAATCAGTTAGCGCTTAGTGATTCTTCAATATAATTATCTTTCACATTTAGATCCAGTGAAGAACTAAAGGCAAGAACCAATCATATTAAAGAATCACTAAGCGTAATTGATTAGTTTTCTCTGAACGCAGCCAATAATACATTTGTCTACTAGATCTTTCAGACTGTATTACTCGAATATAATACTGAAGAACTTTTAACATGTTTCGCAATTACATCTTGTTGTTTGGTATTCATGTTTATATGCAATTTAATGGGACAGCAAATTATAGATCATAATAATTATATATTTGTCACTGCGTAAGTAATATAATTGTTTTATATTGTAGTTATAATTATAAAAAAATTTAGAAGCTTATCTGTAACTCTTAATGACTGTAACGCTACAATTACAGTCGTTAAGAGTTACAAAATTGGCCCCAAAATTATTAATAAAAAAGTTAAAAAGTATTAGTAATTAAATTTTGAAGTATTAATATAGTACATGGCAAATATATGTATACATAATGAAAAAGTATAATGTAATTGTAAATGTTCTTATTTTCTTCAAGTTTTTTAAATTATCATTAATTTTAGATACAAAGTTCAATGGTACGTAACTCCTTTACCCACACAAAAGCTAATACTGATCCTACTGCAAAGAGGTAGTAAAAGTTTTGGCCTGAGAATCGGTAAATTGTTTGTAGCGTCCTTAGAATCTTTTTCAATGGTACACAAAATATATATTTTACGTGCTATACTGTAATAAAAAAAATATATTTTTTACATCATGTAACAAAATAAAAGCAAACATAATTTTTTTACAGTTAATGAAAGCATCCGTTTCTTACTTTACTGTTATGTATTCAATGCGATAACAATATATTATAATAAAAATAATCTTATAATGGCTCAAGAATAATAAACAATAAATCATAAAAGGGGCTATAAGCCAGATTTTTATGTATTCCAAATTCTTAGAACATTCTTTTCAACCTTATTATTAGGTCATCCTTGGGGTAAAAAATTAAAGCAAATTTAACAAAATTAATAAAACGGTTAAATACAAATTAAACAATTTATAGTTACGCAAAAAGTTGGTCTTATTTCTTTATATCTTCCGCAACAATGCAATGCTTTTCGTTCCGCTAATATTATAGGTTATATTCTTCATCATAACAGTCGTAATAAATCCATAATGATAAAAATATTCAATATGATGAGTCATTAAATAAAAATGTACCGGCACACATTCTCAACTGCGATTGGTAAATCAGGACATAATCAGTAATTCAAACAATGAGTCAATTTAATTTGCAAGAAACAAATGCGATCAGAGATAAAAATTGAAACTAGTTCAGTCAAATTGCTTGTATTGTATTAACATATTATAATTTGTATTATAATAGCATGAAATAAATGAAAGACGGCTTACTATATATATCATGTCTAAAAAGCAAAATCATTGACATAAATAACGTATAAATGAAGGACAGAAGAAGAAATATTTTATAGTAATATTTAGGAAATATACTATACATTAAAAATATATTATACATTAAAAAAAATAGAAATGTAAGTACATTAATTATATAATTATTATACAGTAATGTTATTGTATAATAATGTTTATTTGTGATAATTTTATATAAAACTTTTATACCCTAGCAGATCATATGTAACGTACAAATACATTATGGCGAATTTATCGCTACTATCCCGGCTGCAAAGGAAAAATTAATATAATAAATTGTCATCGCCAAGAAAGGAGATACAGAATTTGCACGAGACACGTATACATGTTATTCCGTGCAAAAGCGATCAGCTGTGCGAGCGTAGAAAACAGAACAAACACAGGCAGTGAGTCACGAGAGAGTTACTGACGAACGAAAACAAGAAAACGAAAAGCGAAGAATAGGTAGAAACGTGTTACAAAATCGAATATGTACTAATCGGAAAGAATATAGCGTATAGCCGACAATGCAATTAAGCACTGCTGCACACACAGTAACCTGGCAAGAATATAATGGATGTAGCGCTTCATTCCAATGGAGAAGAAATCGAGGTGTTAGTTTGCGGGTAACATTAGATAAAAATCGAAAACGTCTAGAACATTCGAGAAAAACAAAGTCGGTTTCTCCGGGCGAATAAAAAAAAAAGCGAGCGAAAAGGTGAACTGATAGTCGTTCTCGGTTACTCGTGATGGAAAGTATGTAATATTTAGAGTGAATAACCCAGCAAACGAGAAATTATTGAAAAATGTTGAAAATTATTCATTGAAGTGATGTCGAATCAAGTTTTTGAATTTTTTAAATTCTTTTCTATCCGTAATTCGCTTGAATCAGCAATTATGGATTGGTTATTTATTTTCTGTATGGCGACAAGGTAATTTTTAGAAAAGGTAATTTCTAGACTCTGGCCACAATGCAGGTTATATCTAGGAGTCATACCCTGTCGTCGTGAATCCGTAATGTTGTATAGTCTGGGTATAGTACTAGGCCTCATTCGGGAAGAAATTCATATATCTGTGATTATTATCTTGGTGCATACTTTCCAACGATAAATCACTTTCTGGGATCGCAGACGACCATTATTTTATTTCCGAATCTATATATAAATCCACTCTAGTTCACATTATTATACTTGTATAGACGTATAGAAACGGATTCAGCGTATTCAGGCTTTACAAAATTCGATAATTTTTCACGAATTACGCGGATTTGAAAACTTGATTCATATGAATTTATCCAATCCAATCCGTTCTCGTTTGCTGGGAAGTTTGTGATACTAGAGTAATAAAGACAAGAAATTTCATTTTACCGAGTTAATCATTGGCACTGGCCACACTCAACCGTCTCCCAAATCCTCAAGACGAGCTAAACCAAACATATATATTGAAACATACGCATGAATACTGAAAACTGACGAACTAATAATATGTTTGTGTAACATTTACTTTATAATTTCTCGCGTGAATGATATTCTATAAAAAGGAAACATCTGTTAAATTTCGTTCTACACGGAATCGATTATTTAACCGTTCAACTTCTACCCTACAAAAAGTGTCAAGTGATAAATATTTTAGTCTCACTGGTATTTTGTATCGTTGTAGTTAAATTATTGAAATAATTAACTTATAAAATTAACGTTAAAATTTATAAAAAGGGGAAGTAGGAAATATTTAATCAACCATTTAAATATGGTAATACTTATTAGTATTTATATTCCTCTTATTTATTCATTTATAGTTAAAAAAACATTTTTCAATTTTTAACTTTCTTCAATAGATATAACTCACAAAATATAAAGAAAAACAAAATTATATGATATACATGGTGTCCCAATTTTTGACAAAGCGCTCTTTTGTAGATAGAGTGGAATTACTTCTCTCTGAACTAAATCTGTTTGAATGTATCCTATATCTTTATAAATATACATAATGGCGTCGCCAGACACTTTTAAATTTAACGAATGTATTCCATTCTTAGTATTTTCTTCTTTTTCTTCATCAACCGCTTTTCTACACAAAAAATCAAATACTGCACTTGTCGCGGCATGAACTTTTTCACAGTATTTTCGTACACAGAAGGGCTTAGGCTTTGGCCGAGGTCCATAAACCCACAAAAGATTTTTATGCCCCCCTTCTCTAGTAAAATCTAATAATCTCATAACAAACAATATTCTAAGATTGACTTCATAAGTATTTTAAATGAAAGTATCGCAGTTGATTGGTGTTTAACGAAATCGGTATCTAATTATGATTTTAAAACGAAGGCCACGATGGTCTGATTCGCCAAATGTTATATATTGTTTACAATGTCTGCAAATAACTATTCGCGCAATTCCGCCAAAAATAGCTAAAAATTCAATGATACGGTAATTATGAGTCGGAGTCATAACAATGGCTTCTGTACCTGCAAAATGTAATTTTCTGGCTGATGAACTCGTTCCTTCCATAGGATCTTTAACAGTACATTCATTGCCTGCGAATCTTCTTTTTCGTGGCCTGTTCGGACGATAAGTATCCTCTTTATTTACTTTACCCTACCTATAAAAGTATGTGATAATTTTTTATAATAAATTATCCTCCATTCTATTTTTTAATACTTTAATTTTTTTTCGTATAGGTACCTACTGAATCGTTATCCGATGTTAGCAATATCAAGAATATTGAAGATAAAAGTTCCAACATGGTAAAGAATGATGCGTCAGGGACAAGTGAAAATGTGCCGTAAAACATCTATAATTTTTTACTTGCGAAAAAAAATTAATTAATATTTATTTTCGAGCAAAACAAAGCTACAATCCCCTCTCTGTACACAAAAGTGTATCACTGAACAATATATTTTATATCGTCATCGTAATGTGTCCCGAATGTAATTAGTGTACATTTATCGTAATATTAATGCAACAAATGATAAAATAAGCTGTATTAAATCGTGATATTGATCTTTATTCTCAACATGCCTTCAATTTTAATTTAAAGTAATAAAGAGATTTTCCTTTTATTTATTTATACCTTCATTTTATATCATATGTAAATATCACATACCAGATTTTTTTCTTGTTGAATGGAAATTAATGTAATTTTTCTGTTAGATTTTGTATTTTGCATCTCTGATATGTAATTAATAAAGAAAATTCTAAAAATTTTTCCATATATCATAAACAATAATTTACTCGAGGTGATTTATTTTAAATGATCTTTTAAAATAAAAGAAGTTAAATTTAAAAAATATTAATAAAATAATGTCAATAGAAATGCATACTTATAATAATAAGCACAATTTTATTGCGTCCATTTTGGAAAGACTCCCCATCCTTTACTTACAATCTGATATATATATTCTTATATTTGAAGATATCTTCCTTTTCACAGAGAATGGAGTAGATGCGAAAAAAGAAAAGAATATAAATTACGTCCATAAAATAGTCTGTATACACACTTCGCACTTATTTATAAATACGCGAATTTACTTATGAAATTCTGCACTATATGTATAACGTAAATTATATGTAAGAAATATGTAATGTAAATTATATACGCGCATTTATATTAAAAGTGAAATATAAAAATACGGACTAATAATTTTATAATTAATATACTGTATTTTAAAGTTGATTGTAATGACCCTGAATATTCAAGTGTAACTTACAAGAGCGTGTTTTAGAATGAAGCACGAGAATACGCATCGTCGAAAAAGGATCTACAGCGCTTGCGCTAGTTTTACAGCCATAGTTTTTGTTATGGATGTTATTGTACGAGAAAAGAACATCTGTTGAATTTCTCCGTAGTTGAATCGATCGCTTAAATGTGACATATTTTTAAAAAGCAGTATTAAATTGCGAGGGTTTTAATATTACATGAGCATTTTATTGCACATTTCACGATACTTCTTTCATTGAAAATTCAACAAATTTCTTAAAATTTTTATGTAAATTTCAACAATTTAGCGAAATTGGTTGAATTACTGAAATTGTCTTAAATTGTAGAACATTTCTTGAATTAGAAGAAAATATTAAAAACATTTAATCAATCAACTGAATGGTGGGGATAAGCGCAACTTCGTTCTCTTCAATTCCGTTAAAAGCATTTTAGAGTTAGTTGAGACATGATCAGTGTTGTGGAGAGATATTTTAGTCTTAATCGAACTCTTTTGTTAATAGTTGGTTTGTGGCCTTATGAAAAATCAAAATTTGTTGAATTGCAAATAATATGTATATATAGCACCCTTATAACTTGCATTATATTTCAGGTATTAAGATTTAAATTGTAGTATTATCTTAGATCTCTAAAATTTATTTATAATTGCAAATTTGTTGATTAATTCATAATTGATATTTGTTTGAAAATATGAATTTACTTGAAATATGTCAAATGAACGATTAAATATAAAAAATTAGCGCAAATGTTAGTAAGATCTTATTCTTTATACGTATAAAAAAAGTCCGTGCGAGTACATATATACGCGTATACATATAGTTATACGTACGAGTAATAATATGTTATTCTATGTCGATTTCTATATTATATACAGTTACATAATTATATTAATATGAAATTTTGAAAATTATAATTATACAACTTAATATTTCACGGGAGGCTTTCATGGGAATTTTCCATATAGAAGTCATGTGTTCGCGGGTTATCTTCTTGTCCAAATCCATTATTAGAATGCCAGTGTTTCGTTAACTTACAGTTTACTTCATCAGTATCAACTTGATATAGTATCAGGCTGCCCCTCGCCCTGAAATAAATTGTAATGTTTACGAAACGACTGCACTTTAACATTGGTTTCGAATAAAAATTAATCCGCAAAACCCAATTATGCGACTTGATAAAAATTGTTGTATAAAGTGATAGTAATGGCTTATAGTTACGTTAAAATAGGCTAAAATATAATAAGGATTTTTTATTCTTTTTTTTTAAATTATTATTTACAGTTTACAACAATTTTGACTTCAACGTGTTCTACAGAAGTCATCATCAAAGTTCTTTCTACCGCACTTGCTTTTAGCACCTTTGTTATAAAGTATAATTCCTTTTATATTAACAGTGAAACGGCAAGTTCAACTATATTTTTGAAAAAAAAGTATTTTGAAGCTTGAAATCTCTACTTTCGAAATCGGCAATTGATATTTCGATCTGATTGATTTTTTACGTAGCTATACGGACAGAAATGGGTATCCGTCAAATCTGAAAAATTTGTACAAATTTTACAAAAGTTTATGGCATGTACTAAAAATCACACACAAATGCGGTTTTAAACAATCGAAAGAATGAATCTTTATCTTCAATTTGCTTTTTTATTGAACATTGTACGATTTTTTTTCGACGAGTTATTCGACATTGAAGCAAAAATGATCCTTTTTATTGAATGTCGAATAACTCGTCGAAAAAAAATCGTACAACTTTCAATAAAAAAGCAAATTGAAGATAAAGATTCATTCTTTCGATTGTTTAAAACCGCATTTGTGTATGATTTTTAGTACATGCCATAAACTTTTGTAAAATTTGTACAAAATTTTCAGATTTGACGGATATCCACTTCTGTTTGTATAACTCCGAAAAAATCAGTCATATCGAAATATCGATTACCGATTTCAAAAGTAAAGATTTCAAGCTTTAAAATGCTTTTTTAAAAATCTCATTACGATCATTTTTCACGAAGTTACACTCTTCTGAATTTTTACTTATTTTTAGAGATAGACTAAGTGATCCTTTAATTTTTTTGCGAAGTGTATATATATAAATAATATTATTTATTAATTTTTTTAAATTATACTAATAATAAGATATATAGCATAAAAACTTATTGATAGAATAGGTAAAAAATTTATTGGAACAAATTCAGCATGTCTATAACGATTTAAGAGACAGTGACGAAATTGCTATTATAGAAAAATATGGAAATAACGCAAAACAGTATACGGCTGTGCTTACAAGTAAGGAAGTAAAACATCTTATTACAGTAAACATTATTTTTTTTATGTTGAAATTTAATAAAATTTTTAATAAAACTTTTACAACTAAAAATATCTATTTAAATATAGACTGCTCCATTTTAATTCACCACTTCCAAAAATTTTTTTATTTTTGATTTTAGGAAACGTTTCAAGCAAAAGTAGTTTTAATAAAGTTTATCATATATATACTGATTTAACTTGAAAAAAATTCGCATAAAAAATATTTTAAAATATACATATATAGCAATATAAAATTTTAAAGAGTATGAAAGAATATATTTTGTATTTAAGACTTCATAATATTGAGTAGTTTTTTTTATTTGTAGCTTATCTGTATTTATGGGCACCTCTCTATGGTTGGAGTTTATTGATATTGTGTTATACACAAACGTATCTCGATCACATCACCTGCAGATCTCCACAGAATATTTTATCGATCAACAAAAATATTTCTATTTATTGTTTTTCCATATAAATATATCTTTTACTATAGGGAACATAGTAATACTCGGAACAGGGACATTGCTCATAGCATATCTTCAATATGTCTGCGGAATGTTTAAGATTGCTAGGTGTGTGTGTGTAACATGACAAACATATATAATAATTAAAAAATTTAACAAAGTGTCCATGCTGCGTGAATACACAAATAACAATGAGTAACAAAATCGTACATTGTATGAGTTGTATCAAAAGCACGATCTACAGTTGCGTAAACGTAGTTGTAAATGGTTGTGAAATGTTGTAAAGCGAAGTTTTAACCTGCCATTCCCGGTTGTAAAGCGTGTTGTAAAAGATGATTCAACTTTATCTTTCACGACTACAACTACATAAAACGTAAGAGTGAACCAATCAGAGTGCTGTCACGTGTCTAACATTGTTGTTGTCCTTTTTGTCTCGACGTATGGAAAGAAATGCAAAGTGTCCTTTCATCTTTTATCGAGTTTATTTTATGATATATTATTTGACGAGTTTATTATATTACAAATATATTATATTACGAGTACGAAACACGGAGAAAGTGTTGTGAGTAATGTTCGATTTGAAGATGAAGTTCGTTGAATCTTTACACGATTGTAGATTAATATATTGTACAACATTTACTGCTACTACTACCTCCATAACCTTATATCTACGTTTACGCAATTGTAGATCGAGCTTTAAGTGCTTAAATTCTATAAATTACGCGACTATTATTTTCAATCATATAACACAGTCATAAATAGAATTAGAGTAAAAATATCATACATTTAAATTGAAAAGTAACTGTTATAATAATAATATTGATGTAATCAACATCTTGGAAGAATATCATTAATTTGATATTAATAAGCATCTTAAAAATTGTTATAAAATTTTAATTAGGAATTGACTCTTGGTTATCTCATTTTCAAATTTGTTTTGATACGAAAAGTTTACTTTATAAAATATTTATTCATATGCTTCAAATTAAAAGTTCAAATAGTTAGTTTAATAAAATAAGGAAATAACGAAGTATGCACGATTCCTTACAGTAATGGGCAATATAGTGTATCTAAAGTTACTTTTTAGCTTTACCTTGAATGTAAAATTTTAAATGGGATAACATCAAATATACATGAGAAGTAGTTAATATTTTCATTTATATTTTAATGTTATTAAAAATTCTCAATAGTCCGGGTTTATATGCAATAATACAAATAAACTTATCACAATAATAAGTATTTGTGCACAGATATGTCTTACGCTATAGGACCAGATCAATAATAAATCCGCAATGCGAGCACACTTATAAAAATTATATTATTAATTTATATTATTAAGGGCTATAATAAGCTAATTTTTTTCTCTTATTTCTTCAAAATTATTAAGTATTTTTATTTCTTGCTATAGTTATCAGTTATTAAATTATTTACAGTTATCGCATCAAGAGAGCCATACATATTTATTCATTAAAAGATATTAGTAGGCAGAAAGAGATTTTGGTTTATAAAGGTCTAATTTATGCCATAGATATTCACAGAAAATCTATGACGTAGGTATCTACATATTTTGTAATACATGTATAACATTCGTAATAACATATATTTGCTTTTTTAGATTCTCCAGGTATTTTATATCCAGATTTCAAATCTCATTCATGTTTTTAATAGCAGTTGGAGTTCTTACTATGAGTCTAAATATTTTTCGAGTACGTCTCATCTTTTACAAATCCATATTAATGAATTGCATATTATTTCGTTACGTTGCTTTGATTAATAATCTTAATGTCTTTTTCTAACAAACAATATTGATAGAGATTAGAATATTTTAAGGGTGAATTTATGAAAGGGTTATTTAAATTTTGATTTTGAGATATTATCGACATATATTCATTGACACAATTTTTTTACTTTCAAATCCGTATTCGGATTTTTAAATGATTAGAATACCAGCTTTAAATATTAAATAAAAAATAATCATGTGAAAAATAAAATATATCTTTTAATTTTAATACCAGAAATTCACTTTACACATAGTTTCTGGTTTTTAATAATATGACATTAAGTTTTTGGTATCTTCAAGTTAATTTATAAATTGTTGTAATATTTATTTAAAATATAGTATATGTAACAGTACTAAGAGATATTTCATATGTATTACATTTAAAATTTGGAATTTTCTATTTATAAAAATATATGTATAGCTTAATACTTTAATGTATAGTAGTTGAATGTTGTGCTAAATTCTATCGCAAATTAATAAATACGTTTATATAATACTATTTTCTCTCAGGAATTGATCCCAATAATACATTCGTTTACTAGATCTTTCAGATTGTATTATTCGAATATAATACTGAAGAACTTATGGTATGTTTCGTAATTACATTTATCTGTTTTACATACATGTTTTTATCCAATTTGGTCGGACAACAAATTATAGATCATAATAATTACATATTTGTCACTGCGTAAGTAATATAATTGTTTTGTATTATAGTTATATATTATAAAAGAAATTTAGTGGTTTATTCTGTAACTCTTAACGAGTGTAACGCTACAATTATACAGTCAATAAAAGTTACAAAATTGGCCCCTAAATTACTAATAAAGAAATGAAAAATATTAGTAATTAAATTTTGGAGTATTACTGGAGTACATAGCAAATATATACATAATGAATAAGCATGTAAATATTCTTATTTTCTCCAAATTTTTTATATCATTCATTTTAGATACAAAGTTCAATGGTACGTAACTCCTTTACCCATACAAAGGCTAATATTGATCCTGCTGCAAAGAGGTAGTAAAAGTTTTGGCCTGGAAGTCGGTGGATTATTTGTGGCGTCCTTAGAATGTTTTGCCACGGTACACAAAATACATATTTTATGTATTATAATACTATAATATCAAAAATATATCTTTTTTAATGCAACCGAAAGTGAAAAAGCAAACATAATTTTTTTACAGTTAATAAAAGCATCTGTTTCTTACTTTACTGTTATGAATTCAATGCGATCATAACAATGTATTATAATTTGTATTATAATAGTCTGAAGTAAATGAAAGACGGCTTGCAATATATCTCATGTCTAAAAAGTAGAAACATTCCCATAAATAATGTATAAATGAAGGATAGAAGAAAAAATATTTTACAATAATACTTAATGTAAAAGAAAGATCGACAAATATACATATTTATGTGTTAACTTTCTTTTTTTAATAAATTTTCTTCTTCACACCTTTTAGAATTTTAGATTAATTTAATGCCACACACATATAGGTATATTATTTATTCTATTTTTTAATGTTGTGCTTTGAAAATTGATATTATTTTAATATCACCATTTTATAATTTTCTGTTTGATATTTAGACTTATACTATTTCATATTTTGTAAAACATTATTTAATTTAGTATAGGCAACGTAGGAAATATACATAAATTATACATTAAAAGAAAAATAGAAATATAAGTACATTAATTATACAATTATTATACAGTAATGTTATTGTATAACAATGTATATAACATTGTTATTGTATAACAATATTTACGTGTGATACTTTTATATAAAACATTTATACCCCAGCAGATCATATGTAACGTACAAATACAAATATATTGAAACGTACGAATGAGCACTGACGAACTAATAATATGTTTGTGTAACATTTACTTTACAATTTCTCGCATGAATGATATTCTATGAAAAGGAAACATCTGTTAAATTTCGTTCCACACATAATCGATTATTTAACCGTTCGTCTTCTACCCTACAAAAAGTGTCAAGTGATAAATATTTTAGTCTCACTGGTATTTCGTATCGTTGTAGTCAAATGATTGAATTAATTTAACTTCTAAAATGTAACGTTAGAATTTATAAAAAGGATATGTAGGGAATATTTAATCAACCATTTAAATGTGGTAATAATTATGTATTCCTCTCATTTATTCATTTATAGTTACTAAAACATTTTTCAATCATTTTCAACTTTCTTCAAGAGATATAATTAACAAAATATAAAAAAAAGCAAAATTATATGTTATACAGGGTGTCCCGCAATTTTTGACAAAGAGCTCTTGTATAGATAGAGCGGAATTACTTCTCTCTGAAAGAAATCTGTCTGAATGAATCCTATATATTTATAAATATACATAATTTAACATCTGCGAATTTTGTTCTGGTTTTTCATTTACTTACTTTATAAAAATATTTATTATTATTTTTAAAAAATTGTAATTATTACTCGTTAAATTCCTTTGACTTTGTGTACATACAATCTATAAATATATCTAATCTATAGTGGATATGAAATTCTATAAATATTTTCATTCTAAAGAATAGAAGAAATAACTTATAACTGCACTTATTGAAAGAACGAAGATGAATACTGATGAGCAAGAAACGGTAAATGCGCTTGCGCAACTTTCACTTCAATACTTTTCTCATGGATAAAGGGTCCTCTACATAGAAGTCGTAGATGGTCGTGAAGTCTTAAGTTGTAAGAAACCAACCAATCACAATCAAATATAAGAAGAAAACTCGATTAAAATTGGTCAGTCTCCTACGACTTAAGACTTCACGACCGCCTATGATTTATATGTAGAGGATCCTTTATATTCCGTGAGAAAAAAGTATATGTTGAATTTCTTTTAGCGTTGGATCGATTATTTAATGGGCCTACTTTATGTATTTTAGTGATTATTTTTAAATTATGTATTTCAATTTCATGAGATATTTTGTATTATTTACATTTTTACTAGTACATTTTAAATGTACTAGTACATTTTAAATTATGAAATTTGTCTCAAATTATGCTAATATTATTGTTAGAAGAGAAAAAGACGTGAAATAAATGGGGATAAACAAACCTTTATGGATCACGATAATCTCATATTTACTACTTTGTCAATAAAACGTAACTCAACACTGAACCAAAAATGTACGTAAATACAATAAAAGTATTCATTGGTATTAATAAAAAATTCATTAAAATTGGTCCAATGAACAATTTTATTCCTAT